CGCCCCCTACAACGGAGGGAAAGCCGGGAACAAGCCGTGTGAGGCCTGTCCCACTCCTGCCACCTGTGAGTCCTGACGCAACATCCTCCGACATAACTCTGTTACAGGTGTGTGTGTGTGTGTGTGTGTGTGTCTGTGTGTGTGTTGACCCCTGCGTCCTCTCTGTTTCAGCTGAGTACCAGCTGCTCTGTGGAAACCAGGCTCCTGGATTCATTATTGACATTCACACCGGCAAACCCATCGGTAAGGTCATTCTGAGGTCAAGAGGAAGGAAATACGGGTTAACATCCAGGCAGCATTATATTTTAATGAATGCTGTGCTTTTTTTTTCTGCAGACTAACTTTTTCTAACCCTAACCCTTTTCCTGCCGACATCGACGAGTGCAGGGAGATCCCAGGTATCTGTGCCAGCGGAGTGTGTATCAATCAGATTGGAAGCTTCCGCTGCGAGTGTCCCATGGGCTTCAGTTACAACAACATACTCCTGATCTGTGAAGGTAAACTTTTTTTGCAACTCTCTCTGTATCTGTTTGTTGGTGAAAGTGAAAGTTGTCATCGTGACACGGCACACAACCAAAATGTGACCTCAGCTTTTAACTCATCACTGAGGAGCAGTGTGTGGGGACGTTGCCCTGGCAGCTGGTGGACTTGAACCTTAAGCCTTCCAGACCAAAATCTGCTTCCTTAACCACTAAGGCACCACTGGGCCCTAAGTCAGTCACATGATCTGCTACAGGTCAAACATGATCAGCTGCTGGACGCCCTGGTCACCCTGGCTCTCTACTCCTGAGTCACTGACACAGTCTGTAGTTTATACTCGCTCCTGGCACGAACACTCACCTCCAGTTTTACACTACATCACACTCACTCACTCACTGGGTAAAAGGCACTTTTACAAGCGCTCTGCTCAGCAGAGCAACTGCTGCTTCATCCCACGTGAATTATGTCCTTGTAAAGACAAGTATAATGGCTCTGAGTGGAAACACCTGCCGGGATCTTAAATCACCCACGTCCTGCCAAAACAGCCTGAACTGCAACCAGAGCCAAGATGGAACCGTCGCGTTTGTCTCCTGCTGTCCACGGGCCCACCGTCTGCGGCCAGCAGAGGGTAATAGAGCCTGTAAATAACGCTGTTCTCTCTCCGTCTTCCACCAACGCAGATATTGATGAGTGCAACAGCGGGGACAACCTGTGCCAACGGAACGCCAAGTGCATCAATATACCAGGGAGCTACCGATGCGAGTGTTCGCCAGGGTTCAAACTGTCCCCCAGCGGGGCCTGTGTGGGTGAGTCCACCGCGTGTGTGTCCGTCTTTGTCATCGTAACTTTCGGAGCTGTTAAGTGGAAAGTGCCGTTTAACGTACTCTGTGTAAGTGAGGAAGCTGCTACGTCAGTTTTCATTTTGGCAGGGCAGACACAAGGAGTTTGGGTCGCACAAAACTTTTACTGTTTTACCTTGTTTTTCAAGCGATGGTTCCAAACATTAGGGGCAGGGCCCCTGATATATGGCATTAGGGTGGGTTTTTTTGGGGCCTGGAGAGTATTACTAGATTAGTACAGTATATCTGACTACAGATATACAAATACAAATTTGTTATCATCATTCTTTTCATAGTCTTAACTTCGATTACGACGACATTCTGAACTTTTTTTGTTTAAATTTCTTTCCCTCAGACCGTAACGAATGCCTGGAGATTCCCAACGTCTGCAGCCACGGCGACTGCATCGACACGGAGGGCAGTTATCGCTGTCTGTGCCTGAACGGCTTCAAGGTTTCTGCTGACCAGACCATGTGCATGGGTGAGAAGACTGAACTTAAATTCTGAAAAATTAAGTTGAACATTTTCAACGCCCTAAGACAAATATTTGAATTTCTCTTCCAGACGTGGACGAGTGCGACCGACAGCCGTGTGGTAACGGTACCTGCAAAAACACCGTGGGATCCTACAACTGTCTCTGCTTCCCTGGGTTTGAGCTCACGCACAACAACGACTGCATGGGTATGGACTGGTTTTATTCTGTCCTGTAGCAGGTTAGCGTCAGTGGGGTTAAAGCTGGAGTTAAGATTCTGAGGTAGACAAAGATTCTACGTCGTCTCTCTAACCCTAACCCTGATGACGCTCCTTGTCCGTGCAGACGTGGACGAGTGCATCGCCCTCCAGGGCCAGGTCTGCAGGAACGGACAGTGCATCAACGCACTCGGATCCTTCCAGTGTCTCTGCCTCGAGGGTTACGAGAACACGCCTGATGGAAAGAATTGCGTCGGTAAGAATTTAAAGCTAACGCTGGAACATGACTCACACTGTATGGACTCTCAAGTTCAATACTTTTTCTCTTGTTTTTTTTTTAACAGATATTAACGAGTGTGTGAGTCTGCCCGGGACTTGTTCTCCAGGAACATGTCAGAACCTGGACGGATCCTTCAGATGCATCTGTCCACCAGGATACGAAGTGCAAAATGACCAGTGCATCGGTACGACACCTGGTGGACCTCCAAGAAAATTAGAAAGACAATAAAACCAGACTCTAACCTTTTTCTCCTCTCCCTTCTCTCTGTTACTCACACAGATATTAACGAGTGTGAGGAGCCCAACATCTGCCAGTTTGGCACCTGCACCAACACCCCCGGCAGCTTCCAGTGCTCCTGCCAGCCCGGCTTCGTGCTCTCCGACAACAAACGTCGTTGCTACGGTGAGAGAGAATCAGCTGGATGTTCAGCTACAGCTGCGTCTTTTCTTTATTCGACGAATCCAGCTTTAATTTTTACATGACAGGACTGAAGTATGAAGCTTGAAGAATCCAGCTTTAATTTTACATGACAGGACTGAAGTATTTTTTTTCTTGACAGATACCAGAGAGAGCTTCTGTTTCACCAAATTCGATGCGGGTAAATGCTCCGTCCCCAAAGCCTTCAACACCACCAAGGCTAAGTGCTGCTGCAGTAAGATGCCTGGAGAGGGCTGGGGTCTCCCCTGTGAGCTGTGCCCACGGGAAACAGATGGTCTGTACCTCAGAGACACTCAGTCATGTCAACAACAGACACACAATGTGGAAGAATGACACTGATATAAGAGACGATGTTTCCTTTTCAGCTGCTTTCAGCACCCTGTGTCCCTTCGGCCACGGAGTCGTCCCTGGACCGGGTGAAGCCCGTGAAGGTGAGCGTTGATGTCAATGTCAAAAGTTTGGTGTTCTGTTTGTATCTAAGTATCTTTGGGTTGGTTTTGTCTTCAGATATGAACGAGTGTCTGGAGAATCCTGGCATCTGCCAGAACGGTATCTGCATCAACACCGACGGTTCTTTCCGCTGTGAATGTCCCTTTGGTTACAACCTGGATTACACCGGAGTCAACTGTGTCGGTGAGTTACTTTGTCCAACTGAAATAACCAGAGGAGGGTAGAGTAGCCAAGAATTGTACTCGAGTAAAAGTAATGTTACTTCAGAGTAATATTACTCAAGTAGAAGTAAAAGTAGTCAGTATAATTACTTGAGTAGAGTAAAAAAGTACTCAAGTACTGCGTAACTGTAGAGTTACATCTGATTTTTTTTTTTACTGAGCAGTCAATCAGATAGAATTACAGAGAGGAGAGTTTATCCCACCAATAAAATAATAAAATAAAAACAAACCTTAAAATAAAATATTTAGGTACATTCAAAAATTAAAAAAATAACATAAAAAATTAAATATATACAAAATTACTTAAAACATTTTTTTAGGTCAAACGTACCGCAACATATTTCATTTTTTTTTTAGATCAAATGTACCGCAACATATTTCCGTTAAGTTTTTGAAGGGGTCGTTTGTTTGCCCTTTAGTAAGAAGATCAGTTTGAGCCCTGGTGGTCTCTGACGGTCTTTCTCTGTAGAGAGCAGAGGGTTTTTTTTTTTCCTTCTTCCTCCGAGTGTTTAAACCCATGCATGTTGGGGTTTAAGTTCATTTGATACTTAAATTATACCAGAGTGGTGAAAGTGGTTTTGGTTCTTCCTTCCTCCACCCTGAGGAGGATTATGACCGAGTCACTGCAGTGAGGTGTGTTACAGCCGTCTGTGATCTCTGTCTGTGCTGCAGACACCGATGAGTGCTCCATAGGAAACCCCTGTGGTAATGGAACCTGCACCAACGTGGTCGGAGGTTTCGAGTGCTCCTGCCATGAGGGTTTCGAGCCTGGGTCCATGATGACTTGCGAAGGTCAGTGGCTCGCAAAAGCAACAACCAATGAAACCAAAAGAGAAAAAAAAAAAAAAGAAAGAAAAATAATTCCTTCTTTGTGTCCAGACATCAACGAGTGCTCCCAGAATCCACTGCTGTGTGCCTTCCGTTGTGTCAACACCTTTGGTTCCTACGAGTGCATGTGTCCTGCCGGCTACGTGCTGCGGGATGATCAACGCATGTGCAGAGGTGAGAGGTCACCACAGGAAAAGTTATTTTATTTGACAGGACGTATAAGACGTCCTCACGTCCTGTCCTCTGTCCCTGCTCCTCTGTCCCCCATCAGACCAGGACGAATGCTCAGAGGGTCTGGATGACTGTGACTCCAAGGGCATGAGCTGTAAAAACCTCATCGGAAACTTCATGTGTATCTGCCCTCCCGGCATGCAACGCAGACCAGATGGAGAGGGATGTATGGGTGAGTGGGACTGATGGACACAAGTGACACGCTGCTGTGACGCATGAATGATAACAAGCCTCTAGTCACGTGTATGGGTGAGTGGGACTGATGGGTTAGGGAGCGGTGAGGACACGAGTGACACGCTGCTGTGATGCATGAATGATAACAAGCCTCTAGTCACGAGGTCAGTGTTTCCCAGACTTTTTATTCTGGGGACCCATATTTTAAAAGTCACAAACCTTGGCGTCCCAAGTCAATAGATATTATTCATAAACTTCTGGGAAACAAACAAAAAAAATCTCTTGTGACCCACCTGAGGGTCGCAACCCAGTCTTTGGGAAACAATGCAGTAGGTGGCAGCAACTCACACAGTGGTTTGTAGAGATAGAAATATACATTTTATCAGGTTCTCAATAGTATCGCAACTTGCGGAGGTGTGGAGGGCGTGAAATCATTTCTGTCCTCAAGGGGGGGCATGACAGAAAATAATTAAAAACCACTGGTTTGACGAGAGCTTCTTCTCTTCTCTTTCCTCCGTCAGACCTGAACGAGTGCCGTTCCAAACCCGGCATCTGTAAGAACGGACGTTGTGTCAACACGGTGGGAAGTTACCGCTGCGACTGCAACGAAGGATTTGAGCCGAGCCCCACTGGAACGGAATGTATCGGTAAGAGAAACCGGACTGATTGGCAGAGCTGAACGTGTCGCAGCCACAGGTTTTACTGCAGTAAAACGTGAACGTAATATTTGATTTTTTTTTGTTTTTTCTTGGTGTTTTTTCCAAAAACCAACAGAAAGGGCTTCTGTTTCACTGAGGTTCTGCAGACCATGTGCCAGCAGTCGTCCACCAACAGGAACAGTGTGACCAAGTCAGAGTGCTGCTGCAACATGGGCCGCGGCTGGGGCTCACTGTGTGAGCTGTGTCCACTGCCTGGTACTGTACAGTACAAGAAGATGTGTCCACTGGGACCAGGGTACACCACGGACGGACGAGGTGAGGAAAAAAAACAAAAAAAAAACAAAAACTGAGCCGCTCCTGAACTGAGGTGAGAGAAAAAAAAACACTGTTTTATGAACTGGTCATTTTGTGTGTGTTTTCAGACATCAACGAGTGTCAGGTGATGCCAGACCTCTGTCAGAACGGTCAGTGCATCAACACCATCGGATCGTTCCGCTGTCACTGTAATTTGGGATACAAGACCGACTTTACCGCGACATCCTGCGTCGGTATGAACAACAACACCGACATCAGTCCTCTTTCAGTCTGACTTTTCTTCGACATCAGTCCTCTCAGACTTTCTTTAAAGGTTCCCAGCTTTCTATTCTCAACATATTTCTGTCTGGATTTTTTCAGATCTAGATGAGTGCGGTCTGTCTCCGAAACCATGTAACTTCCTGTGTAAAAACACAGAGGGCAGCTACCTCTGCTCCTGCCCCAGGGGATACAACCTACAGCCGGACGGAAAGACCTGCAAGGGTATGACTTTTTTTTCCAATCAATATCTTAATTAATGTCATCTGACAAATTAGCGACAGTTCAACACGGTGTTGATCCGTTGACGTCATTTTAGTTCATAAATGTGGATTTCATTTTTTCCCCGACCTTATCTTCTCAGATCTGGACGAATGTTCAACCAAGCAGCACAACTGTCAGTTCCTCTGCGTCAACACCATCGGCGGCTTCACCTGCAAGTGTCCGCCTGGTTTCGCCCAGCATCAGACCGCCTGTATCGGTGAGCGCTCAGAGAAAAAGATCAAGTTTTTTTTTTTCTTGCTGACATGTTTGTCAAAGGTGAAATGTGAACCTTTTTTTTTTTCTTTCACAGACAACAACGAGTGTGCTGCTGTCAACAGTGCCTGCGGTTCACGGGCTTCGTGCGTTAACACGCCTGGGAGCTTCAACTGTGAATGCACCAAGGGTTTCTCCCTGGACACCACCGGTGTGGAGTGTGAAGGTGAGCACAGCCAGAAAGACCTAGCTGGGAGTTCGGTGTTTTAATGACGACAAATGAGACAAACTCTTTTTTGTTTTTTGTTTTTTTCTTCCACTTCCCAGATGTGGATGAATGCAGCAGTAATCACCGCTGTCAGCACGGCTGTCAGAACATGCTGGGAGGTTTCCGCTGTGGCTGCCCACAGGGATATGTGCAGCACTACCAGTGGAACCAGTGTGTGGGTGAGTCACTGACTGGACGGCTGTGGATTAAATCATCATTGTCGTCAGCAAAATGTTATTTTTCTAAGGAGCGATGGAGGTGAGGACGGGTCACTGCTGTTGTAGTAACGAAGTAATTCCTGGAACAAATGCATTTGTTTCATTATTGTGATTTAATTCGTCAAGAAAAACTCTTCTTCTGGATTATAATAGTCTTTCCACGACATGCATTTTTTTTCTCCTGAGAGTAGTCTGACAACCAGACCTCAGTTTCATTTCAAAGGACAACCAAACGTGTCGATCAGGTGAAACTGTTAGTCAATAAAGCCCTACTCTTTATTAGTCCTTAACTATTAGTTCTTACCCCCCCTTTCTGCAACGACCCTCGTCACGGGTAAATACCAGAACATTTCCCGTTGTCGTCAGTCAGAACTGAAGAAGCTTCTTGGATGAAGAGGTGAAACGTCTTCAAAAAAACAAAAAACCTACTCCGTCCAGTTGTTTTCGATGTAACTATATTTGGATTAAAGGACCTGGATGACTGAGAACCAACACAGACCTCCTGAGAGTTTTTCCGGTTCAATTATCAGTCAGATTTATCACCAGTTTACATCGACATTTAAGAAGATATTTATCTTATAATTAAAGAAATATCAAACCTACGTCAGAAAAAACACTTTTTTCCCCCTATAGACAACCCTTCGTGTTCTTTCTTCTCTTTGCTCTGCAGATGAGAACGAGTGTCAGTCGGGGTCAGTGTGTGGCTCCGCCTCCTGCTACAACACACTGGGCAGCTTCAAGTGCGTGTGTCCGTCCGGCTTTGACTTTGAGCAGACCAACGGAGGCTGCCAGGACGTGAACGAATGTTCCTCGGGCAGCAACCCCTGCATCTACGGCTGCTCCAACACTGACGGAGGCTACCTGTGTGGATGTCCCGGAGGCTTCTACCGAGCCGGACAGGGGTGAGGAGGACCTGGTCCCGCGGTCACTTCAGTCCTTTCTAACAGGAACACACACCATCTGACTGGATTAACTCTTCATCTAATCTTCTGTGCAGCCACTGTATGACCGGAGCAGGATTCCCAGGCCAATTCATCGAAGGTGAGGAGGACGACGACAGTCTTTCTCCTGAGGCCTGCTACGAGTGTAAGATCAACGGCGGTGGAAAGAATGGACGACACAAGCGCAACGCCGATAAAAACGACCTGGACCAGGTACAGTTCTCTAAGTTCTCTCCTTATTTGGTCGAGGCTTGAATGAATTAGGAATTTCCGACTCATTAATCACACCGTTCCGTGTTGGTTGTCTGTCAGGAGCCGGCGGTGAGCATGGCCAGCGTGGACACTCAGACCTCCATCCCCATGAACCTGTCCCTGGCCTTGTTATCCAACAAGGAGCCTCTGCTCGAGCTCCTCCCCGCCCTGCAGCCGCTGGAGCACCACGTGCGTTACGTCATCACCCACGGGAACGCCGACGAACACTTCCGCCTGCTGGAACGCCGCGACGGAAAGAGCGTACTCCGACTGGGCAAGAGGCCGCCTCCAGCCGGATCTTACCGACTGGAAATTGCCAGTTTGAGGCTGTTTGGGCCCCGGAGGCTAGAGCAGCTGGAGAAGCAGCACGACAGTGACTACCTACAAGGAGAAATAGGAGACGCCCTGCGCATCAAGCTCCACATCCACCTGCACTGAGCTCCGAATGTGTCGCTGCCCTGGACTGATTCCTGAAGCCTTTGAGTTTTAACCTGACCTTTTTATCCAGTCACTCTCTCCTCCCAGCAGGACCGTCCCTCCCCCTCACCCCCCCAGATAATCAAGGGCTTTGAAAAACTGAGTCAATCGGCCCGACCCTACCACCACTTTGTTACTGTTCATGTTATTATATGTTCATACTGTTTTTGTTTGGTTTTTCCTGTATCCTGACTACACTTCCTCCTGTAGCGCCCCCTACACTCGTACCCGACCTAGCACTCCCTCTCCACCGAGAGAGCCAGTGAAGGAGAGGTGGCAGAGCGGTGTGGATGTTCTTGGACCACAGTGCTGAGTAGAGACCAAACAGCAGACAGATGGCCCACATGTCCATGAAGCACTTTTGTAGAGACACAATCCTTCAAACAAAGTGAAGTGCTGAGAGCGGCCAAAAATCCCTGTGATGCAAAAATGTGTGGTCAGTTTTTTTAAAATCACTGCAGAAGCTGAAGTGGTGCCTTCTTCCTCACCGTAGTGTTTATTAAGTATATAGAAGCAATATGTAGGCTAGAGATCGGGGGTCAGGTGCCATCACTGTGGTCCGAGGACCTTCACACCTCTCTGTCATCTCTGAGATGAAAAAAAACAAAAACCTAAAATCACAACACTGGGGAAGAAGAATTGTCACCTCGGCCCCTCTATGTTTTGTAGCGTGTCATTACATGTGTTTTGCTGTTTAAAAAAAAAAGAAAAAAAGGTTAATACGAAGGACTGCAACATTTACACAGCATTTCAGGTTCTTCTGTTCGTAGTTGTTGTTCCGTTTGATCAAAAACAAGAGTTCTGTCAGAAGAAAAAAAACAAAACAAAAAAAAAAACAGCGATCTGACCTCGAACGTCACACACTCAGAGATCAGCGCGGTAGTCGTGTGTGTGTTGTCTTCCACATTTATTCTCTTGCCGACTGTGGACGCCATGCTGTGATGCTGACTTTAAAACATTAGAGGGTGCTAGGGTGCCTCAGTGTCCACCGTGAGCGGGGGAAGACAACGGTGTTTAGAGTGAAGATCAGACACGAACATTTATCCTTGAGGGGATTTAGACTCCAGCAGCAGTGGCCTTGGAGCTGATAAGCAGCTTTTAGTGTCTGACACAGTCTGGGAGCTTCTGATTTGCTCTGCAGTTGTGCTTCAAACACCAAAACATACAGAACGGTGCTGAGTCCGAGAGCTAACGTTTGGCGGCCGAGCGCGAGTGACAATAAGCTGACCTTATCTGACCTCTTTGGCTTCACGCTGAGGTCTGAGCCTCGTTTACAACACAAAGAGCTGAGGACACGCCCAGTCTCACAGGTACACGACATGCTAACAGCTAACGACATCTACAGCTAACGTTTCCTGAGCTGTAGCTGACGTTAGGGCACACACACACACACACACACACAGGTTAACACAAAACTTTGCGAGTAAAAAAAGTCTCCGATTTGTCAGGTTTATCTCACATTCCTCGTGATTTATTTTCTCTCGGAGAGAGAAGCGGTGCTAGCCAACGATGCCATCACTTACGCTGTACAAATGAGGTGCAGTCTTGAACCTGGATTGTAAAAGTGACAATTTCTTTTTGCTAGGTTTTGTTGTTGTGTTTTTGTGTCTGTCTCTTGTATTGTGCTGAAAACAAACAAACAAACAAACATTATTATCAAATTTGCTTCTTGAAAATTAAATTGTATATTTTTAAGTGAAATGTTGATTTTTTTTTTTTTAATGTCAAGGCTGCCAAACCAAATACTCGTAGTAGTGAGCCTGAGAATTGAGGCCCGAAGTGCCAATATGCAAAATCAAAAATATGCAAATGTAGCGTCTTACTTGAGGTTCACCGACTGAATCGTTTAAAACCACAGACACCACTGGAGTCATCAATGAAACCATAGTCAACATTCCTCTGTGTCTGTGATCATACAGGATTACACTGTCTGTACAACGTCAGTAATGCAAAACAAGACCATCTACAGGAAGGATCTCTGGTGCTAACAAAAAAAAAAGAAAACAAAAAAAAAAAAACAAAAACCCGAAGTCATATTTTACTCTTTTCAGTCAAGGTTGCTGCACTGTCCCACAGCCTGGGCCATGTTTATATCACATAATCATTTTTCTAACCTGGGAAGCTTTGTATACTTTGTATCTTTATTGTCAGTTTGTAATTGTTTTCTTGTATTTGCCACTATGTTTTTAAGAAGAAGGAGAAAAAAAAGGCAGTGTGCTGCGTGTGCTTACTGTATCACAGCGTCAGTGACAAACTTGAAACACTACTGTATCACATGCCTTATGATTCTCAACGTGGGGGGGGGGTCCGATCAGGACCAGCCTGACACATCATGTTCACACCAAAGTCCAACTGAACCGTGAGCATCGACGACAATCATCCCGTCGCACGGTCACTCGATGAAGACGAATAAATCAGTCAGCCGTCGTGGAATAGCATTTTAATTTGATCGTTTTTGTGCAGACAAAGAAAAGAAAACCAAAGATTTGTCCAACCAAATGGCAGACTGTAAGATCAGAGTGATTCATATCATCATCTTGTACACTTTTGTCCAGTGACGTAAATGGCAATAAAGAATTGTGGGTTATATTTTTAAGTCTTGTGTGCCTGAGTTTTTCCTTTTTTCTTTCCACCTTCATGGATGACGAATGTGAAACGCGATGAAAAGACATTCCATTTCATTTGCGACGTCACGAGCGAGGACTGTCCAGAGTCTGTCGCCGTCCAAGTGTATCAAAATCAACCAACAATTCAAATCAAAAACCGGCCTTGTACTGTTTCCACATACAACTGCGTGAAGAACACACAAAAGCCTACAGTCTAGGAGGAAACGCAGAGAAGAAGATAGCAAAAAGTAGACTCCCGTACCTGAGTCAGGAATAGAAAAATAAAACTTTTTTCTGCCTAAAAGTTGCCGTTTGATTCATTACCACACAAATGACAGAAAGTCTACTCGCAGCAACAGGAGATTAGATAGTTTCAATATGGCTTCTTGCTTATAGACACAGAGAGACACAAAACAAACAACAACAGGATTCCACGGAGAGATGAACTACCTGCGTAGGCATTAAAAAGCTCCTAGGACTGCAGTGCTGCTCCACGATCGGTGTCTACGAGAAACTACAGGAGAAGGGGCAATTTGAAGAACTTGATTATGTACTTTGTTCTATATTTAGTCTTTTGTAATGACGCAGGTTCATTAAAGGGGTATCTGCTCAAAATGTAAACTCTCTCTCCTCCGTCGTGAGGCTTGAGAACAGGGTCTGATTTGAAAAAACAAAATACAAGCTTTACAGTGATGTTTTCCAAATGGTGACGTTGTTGGACTTCCATGTTACCTTCAGTTAAGGCAGCTGTACAGCAGCTTCATGTCAAGTTCTCTGTCACAACACCAGTGATGTCATTGGTGGGCGTGGCCTTTTATAAACCAGATTTGTCGGAGTAGCCGTCGGCACCCGCTAGTGAAGCCTTGGAAAAGAAACTGAATAAAAGGGTTTATTAAAAAACAATACAAAAAAAAAAAAACATTTACAGTCTCAGTTATTGGACTGTTGGAGAACATCCACAGTATAATTCCAGTCAACTGGAGATCGTTGATTGGACGAGGGCCCGAACCCTACAGATCAGAATGCAGATAGTTCTTGACAGTTTACAAAATACAGCTTCTTGAAGCAAATTCTGTTGCTTTATTTGATTATTGATTATCAATCAATAACCTCAGGAAAATGACTTTAGTGATTAAGTGTACCTTTCAGAGTTAACTGATGTTAAAGAAGAAAAAAAAATCAAACAAAAGTCCAGTTTTACAAACAGTTTCTGACAAAACTTTTCTTTCGATTTGTTGTGCTTTTTCGAGCAAATTTCCTGTTTATAAACTTAAAAAAAACTGACACAATACCTTGCATTTATGAAACCACAGGTTTAGAACAGTCTTCAAAAAGTGCTCATACATTTAAAAAGTCAAGAATCTCACATCAAGTTTGAAATTTTAAACAGAGTTTCCAAAGCTTCACTAGGCAGGAAGTGTCTGGGCCTGGACGGCGTCGTCCTAGATCTACTGGCTTCAACAACACATAGGTCTGATTGGACGTCTTATCCAACAGTGTGCCTTAAAATACTTGTTTTTTTTTCACCCTACACCAGTGCATATTCAAACTGACCCCTCTCCAGCCCCTCCTTGTGGTCAGTCCAGGATGATGCAGGCATGCGGCTGTAGGGGTCCAGCAGGATCCTGAAGCACCTGACCAGCAGGAAGATCAGGAAAAGCATGAGGAGGCCGACGAAGGCCAAGGCAGTACGCTGCTCGGTGTCCACCCCCACCAGGGTCAGCGGGGGGGCGATGCTGCTGCCACCACCAGGACCGCCTGAGAGCGAAGAGCTGGCTGGGGACAGCAGCAACTCGTAGTCAATCGTGGGCACATCGTTCATCCTCCACTGGGCCCTGAGGCAGGGCTTACACACTGACTGGATAGTTGGGGTGTTGGGAGGAGTGGCAGAAAAGGAGGTGAATGTGGTCATGGGGGTCAGCACAGACTGAGCAGCTGAACTGGAGAAGAAGGTCAAGATAGTTCGGAAGTTTAACAACGCAAACTGCTGAATAGCGACGTCTATCGGCAGAATTAGCAGGTAGGTTAACGAGTGTGTGTTCTGATCAGAGCAGGGAGAAACTTCTCCTCTAGGGGGGGCCGGTGGTTAATTATGTCAGATCTGGGTCAGTGACAGTAACATGACCCTGAAACGTCTGACCCTAATGTGGTCTGACAACGTGACAAAAACGTGAATGTGACCCCAGCTGTTCGGCTAAACACGGACTAATTTTCACGAAGCCATGACTTTAACGTCGCCTCCCACGAACATCAAACCTCGATGTTTAAATGTGGTTTACGGTGAATATAAGGCGCTCTTTTCTTGATCAGAACAAACACGATATGATGCTAACACCTGCTAATCTCACACTCAGGGTCAGTGCTCCTCTGTTGAATCTGACGGACCTTTAAAGCCCCGTTGGGTTTCTGTGTCTGTGGATCTGTACAGACCAGTGCTTCACTGTGTCAGTGATTCCAAGGCCAAAAGAAAAACCATGGGTTATTTACAGCAGGTGTTTATCTGCCCGAACACACACACACACGTGTGGCTGTCGCTCTGTGTTTAATCACATCAGAAGGTCAGTGGATCAATGAGCCACAATATAAATCACCACATTACCTCCGCTAGCGTTTCCTGCTAAATGCTAACAAGGTTTCCTTCAGCCCAGTAAGCTCGCTGTGATAAGTGGGTCACGGAGCTGAAATAAGTTTCTCTGGCTTTTTTTTCTTCCCCTATAATCTTTTCAAAATGGCTGCCACTCATTTATAGTTAGAGACTTAAAAAAAAAACAGTGTCTAAGGTGTCAGTCATATAAGAAGTGTGTTCACTTCAGTCTTCAGTCCACTGACAGTGCGGCCGCTCCTCCAGTTATCTCAACATTGCAGAGGGACGATAAGGTGGTCACAGCATGGAGACGTTCCTCGTCAGAACCAGAGAACTCCGGAAGATTCTTCAAAATCTCCTCCTGCAGGATAGAAAGCCCACGGTTGGAGAAACAGTGAAATAAAATGTTGAAATATTCAGATACATGAACTGGTGAGGAGTGGAATCATGAAGAACACAAACACGACACACTCTCTAGAACACTGTTTCCCAAAGACTGGGTCACGTCCCTCAGGTGGGTCACAAGATTTTTTGGGGGGGGTCGTCTCGCATCATGTTTCCCAGGAGTTTACGAATAATGTCTGTTGACTTAAATCGCGAAGGTTTGTGACTTTTAAAATATGGGTCCCCAGGAAAAAAAAAAGTTTGGGAAACACTGGTCTAGAAATCCTCCTTAATAACCATGTAATACACACACCAAAGGATGAGAAAAAAAAACAAAATTATGGTTAAATTATATCAATGACAAATAACAGTCAAAAGTCAGTTTTTTGGACCAAAGAGTCCAAATAATTCAGTCATTTTTTTTCATGTACACACTTGTTATAAATCTCATCTTGCAGGTAGCAAATCAAAAAGCATTGTGGGAGTTGTAGTACACGCCTAGAGAGCACATACTTTTATTAAAAGACAATAACACACCCTGTTGCGGCCTGGGGGGATGGGGGGGGGGGCACTAAGAAATGATGAACCAGATCAGGCCCATGGGCCTCAAGTTTGACACGTCCAATATTAACTGAGGAACTGAGAAAACAGGCCATAAAGATAATAAAATACATGTTGTTCCCCCTGCAGGTCAACGCTGCGAGAGTTTCTTCCTCCGACACTGCAGACATTATAAAGCCTCCAAATTAATTCCCAAAAGTCAGACTTTGACAATTTCTATGTTTAGACTGAGCCGAGAGCTTTCATCTAAGGTGACTGACTGACTGACAACAACCAGGGGGTTCACGGTACCTGGTACTTCCTGGTACTTCCTGGTTCCTGAGGGACCTGTGTAACTTTCCAGCTCCAGGAGTCATAAAAAAAACAACAACTCATACTGCCTGAAGTTTATTATGATGATGAATTTAGAAATGTTACTTTTCTTACACTGCAGAGATACTAACAAACTTCTCAAAAAAAAAATAAAAAAAAATTGGATTTTATAGACTAACCCGGCTTTAATTCGAGCTAAAACAATTAACTTCAACCGTCCATTAATTCAAAATTAAATTACACGGACAGTTTGATTTGACCATTGAGCTCGGCTGTGTGTGATGCAGATAATAAGGAGGTAATAATATATAGGGATTATAAAAAATGCATTATAAATATTACGACCCTGTGTTTTTTCAGTAACTGAAGCCTGGTCTGGGTGTCATTACGACCACATTAGCGAGAACACGCGTGACATCAGCCTCGTTTGTCAGTGCTGCGTTACACCGGACCATTTGTTCTCTCTTGACCTCCTTCATTCATTCATTCACATAATGGAGGTGGGGGGAGGGGGGGGGGGGGAATTAATAAGAAACACGTCTCCCTGAGGCAGACCAGGTTTCCCGTCATGGAGGAGAGCACTTTACCCACTGAACAGGTGTCTGCAACACGTGGCTCCCGTGGCCACATGTGGCCCATTAGCCTCTTTGCGACGGCCGTCTGCGATGGAGCAAATTTTAGAACTTTGTTAAGTAAGAATCCTCACTGTTACATCAGAGTAGAACTGGGAGTAAATAGCAGACACTGAGTGGGGTTTTTTTCCTTGAATTTTCCTTTTATTCTTTGTGGTCAGTCTGTGGCCTGGCTTGGATGGATGGATGGATGAATGGATGGATGGAAAAACTATGTTAAATGAGATCCACTTTTTCATACATTTTTGAACTCACACAGTTGAACACTACTTAAAACTGAAGAGGAAGCAGAGGCACAACAAAAGAAGAAATAAAAGAAGAAAAGAAAAGAAATCCGACCGTAGCCAACGAACCCCCACATGAAGCAGCAACAGCGTCGTTGCCAATGTGGAACGATGTGGGCAGAGCAGCTGAAAGCTACAGACAGAAGCTCATCATGTCCAGCCCAACCAGTCTGTAATTATCTGCTGGCTGCTTTTCTCTCCCACCAAGTCTTCACGAGGAAAAGGAACACGAAACAGGACGAAGGGACGAAGGGTTTGGACTCAGATGTGAGCGAAAGGTGGAACACACCCTGGCAAGATTTGTTACAGTGTGTGTGTGTGTGAGAGAGTGTGTGTCAGTTTAATTGCGTTTGGATGAAGACTGATGAGTGTCCGCTTCACTCCCCTTCATTTCAGGGGGGGGGGGGGGGGTCTCATCAGTGTCCCGGAAGTGTGGAGTAGGAAATGGATCAGAGGAGAAATAACGCGAGTCAAGTGAGAGACAAGGCTGATGGACGACACCATATTTGTGTGTGTGTGTGTGTGTGTGTGTGTGTGTCTGATGAAGGGTGATGATGGGAGCGAGACTTAACGAGGAGGAAAATAAGCTGAGCAATCTCTGTCTCTCTGTCTCTGTCTCTCTGTCTCTCTGTCTGTCTGTCCCTGTCGTCCGTCCTAGTGACGTATTCACTTACAAATGCACACAGACACAGAAAATAACAGTAACTGTAGGTAAAGACACAGCTGTCATCACGTCCCCCTCGTCCCCCCCGTCCCCCTCCGAGCCAATCATCAGCCTGCGCTGACAGAACTCCTCACAGTAATGAAATAGAGTTGAAAATAATTTAGTTACCGCTCATGAGACTACAGTGTCCCCTCTGTCTGTTCTGTCTCCAAAAAAATGCATGTGTTCACACACACACACACACCTATAACTATACAACGTCTGTACTTTAACAGTAACGTTGGACCTCGTCCTCCGTCTCAGGGTTGTGTCCGTTTTATTGACGTTGCTACAGTAGCGTTGGTCTTGTTCTCCAACCACTCACTCCAGAGTGTGCAGAGACAAGAGACAAGCTTGATTTGTCATTATTTATAGCCTGAGTAAAGCCACACTCTAAAAGTAATTAGACTTTAACTGAAACAAAGAGAGAGTGAGAGAGAGAGAGAGAGAGAGAGTTAATGTACCTAGCCTTGGCCACAGCCTGCTGGGAATTGAATTAACCCTTTCCAATTTGCTGTTTTTTAGAGATAATATGAACCTGAGGGAACTGCAGGCAGCGAGGGGGGGGCAGGGGGGGGGATAGGGTTCTCTTTTACATCAATTTTAAAGTATAGGTTTCTCTTTTACATCACTTTAAAAGTAGACGATCTTAAAAAACACAATAGCATTTTTTTTAAAAATACCTTCATTCCTTCAAAGGTAAAGTATGCAGGAATCTCAAAAAATAAACAACAAAAGAATAGTTTCAGTCATTTTGCTAGGCAAGGAAATAGTAGCTAGCTAATGTGATATGACGTAGCTCACTCTCTCTCTCTCTCTCTCTCGCTCTGAACAGCAAAAAGATGGTGGAAGCGTTCACTGTTCTACGATACAAAATTAAGCTAGCTGGGCGACACGAGGATTCGCATCTGGAAATTATAGTAGTATCCAAAGATACTGACGCTAAGGATTCCCCCCCGACGTTTTATGGGGCGTTCAGACCAATTGTGCGGCAGCTCTACATCATACACACTATAAATGGCGCCGCAACACGATTGGCGCAAAAGAAGAGTCTAGAGCTTCTGACGCGATATAAATTAGTTTGACATCCCCCACCCCCCCCCACCCCCTCCGGGCGTACAGGGAAGAATGATGAAATGTGCTTCACATTATTTATTTATAAACACATGCCACGAAACAGCAGCCAATAATTAACCACCGTCAGACGGTGAGCGGCGTCCTCAACGATCCGACGCTGATATCATCTATCATTGGAGTCCTATTGATAGGTTTGATCGTCTTTTGTTGCGACTCTGGGGTGTTTGTCCACGTGGGTCTGTGACTCCCGGGAGTTGCGATGTACCGCGTGTCTGCAGCTAATGAGATAATTGGGACCAGGTCACCTTCAGCTGTGAACAACAAAGGATATTCTTCAACGACTGATCCTCGCTAACATTTCCACGGTCACGGATGGTTCGGTATCTTTTTAGGGAAACAACCCTCCAAAAAAGGAGCAAATATATGTGATCTGAAGTAGTGTTTTTTAAGAGTATCAGTGGAGAGCGTCCAGTTCTTGGAGAGTCCTGTCATAATGAGACTGGCAGACAGTGAGACGCTACAGTAATGGTGATAAAGTTGACTCATTAAATATTCTGCTGTTCCAACAGAACGCAGCCCTTGTTTTGGCTCAGCTCCGTTTTGCTTATGCATAAAAAAAAAAAAAAAAGAAGGGTGAGTATCTGGAAGTAAGAAACAGACACAAAAACAAAACAAAAACTGAGAGACAGAAGGAGAAAGAAAAACAGAGGTGGAGA